ATATGATTAGACAGAGTACACCCACTACAGACAGCGTGGCTTTCACAATGAAGGAGGTTAGGAGAAGCAGTGGATGAAATACACTGGGGTTATAAAGTGGAGACAGACACATTCTGTGCACGTCACCTGTGTAGCAAATAATGCACATTGCCCTTGGGAGGAGGAGAGGGTGCACACTCCCTTTGCATCTCTGGCACCTCACCAAGTCAGTGAGACACATAAGATCTGGCCACAGCCTATCCAGCAAGCCCAGGGTCTTAATCTTCTGCAGACACATCTTTGCCCTTACTTTAGGTAGTCCAGAATTAGCAGAGGAGTTATTCCCAGGCTGCCATGGACAGTGGTGATGTTCATTTACTAAGAGCTGCTTTAGTGGCTTAAAAATGTCTTAGATATAATTTGCTTCCTTTTCAAGTGAGATCCACCTGATAAGTAGTTAAGTTTACTGTTTAACTGCCTGTACAGTCCTCATTGTTGACAACATAAAGCAAGAAGGGATGGTAAATCTTAGGTGTTAATTAAGGCTACGCTGAGAATTAAGGTTTCTGCCGTACATGGCCATTTTATTGCCACATGTAAGAACCAAGGAGCACAGCATAGACCATTTTAGTGTGAGCTACAAAACATGAAAGGGTAGTTTATATAACTCATACATAAACTATCCTCAAATTAAGTGTAGGTGCTCCTGTGGGGCATGCCACCTCCTGGGCAGACTCCTGTTTTCCACATGTGTCTGTTGAGCAGGTAGGCAGGATGGTAAGGACCAGGATGGTCCATACAATGCTTTTCAGAGTGTGAAGCAAGAAGGTTTGTGGGAGGGAAGCTGCTATGGGGATAACACGGCTGCAGAGGCAGCTGAGGGGAGAGACTCCTTTGGACCAAGGCCCGGGGGCTATGAGGATTCTGTTGTTGATAAAAGAGACATCAGTTGGGATCCTGCAAATGTTAAAAAAAAAAAATAAAAAAAAAATAAAAATAGAAGGGCAAAACTACGGCTGCCATACATCTCCATAAACTTTCTCATCCATACAAAAGTTTCAGACATTAAATCCTCTCTCAATCGAGAAACTGGAATTGTCTAAGAATATTCACATTGACAAATCAAGTAAAGACAGATGGGAAAGGATCAAATCTGGCACTTTAGTAACTTTTTGTGCCTTGCATACGTCACAGACTTTCTTCTTATATTCACCAAAATTAAAGCTCCCTCAGAATCTTTTCTGATAATTCAGTCACTTTCTACCTTGAGAAACAGAATCAGGAGCCAACAGCTTTGAGTTATTAAAGATGATCCAGTCAAACACACAGTGCTACTAAGGAGAGAGGAGCATCCAACAGACCATGCCAGCTTCCTGGAACAGTGCACATGCTTGTCGTCCTGTGGCCAATGGGGAGAGTGCTTTCTGTGTAAGCACTTTCCCTACTTTAATTTGTGGTTTGTAGAAATTGATGGCCCATTAGGAGGTATCTTAGGTCATCATCCTGTTAACTGCTTTCATGGTTTAATCAAATACATGACAAATACTACTAACCCTTGTTAACTCCCAAATCCTTATCCACGAGGAAGGATTAGTGTGGGCAATGCTCAGTGCAGATGGAGTTTGTACATGTATGCATTTTACTTCCACTGCTCTCATTTAGCCTGTTATATCTGTTCAGTGGTAGAAATTTAAATGCAAAATGGGGGGAAAGAAAATAATATAAGATGGGAACCAGATGTGACTGGTAAACCTCTTTCCATGCATCACAGCTTTCTAAGGACTAAACAAAATTGCTGAATGTCATGATGGGGGGAATAGAAGACTAGCTTTGCACAGCTTTAAATATCTTGTTTTAATTACTTGGTAGGTAAGAGTCAGAGTTTCTAAAGCATTCCGTTTCAGAAACTCAATGGGAATGAAAAAGCTGGTAAAACGAAGTTATGTTGTTCAAACCACCTTCATGCTGTTTCATCAGATCATAAATCTAATTTTTATTTAAATATATAAGATCAAAATGAGTTGAAATTAATATAGGCACCATGATTATACTTCAAAATATAAATTAGAGATTTATAAACTCTATTTTCTAAAAAGAACATAAATTTCCTTTTTACTTTTACATTTTAAGGGAGAGTGATCATAGTATTCATCAATGTCATTTTAATGTTTTACAAGTTTTGTCAAATGCATTATTCACAAGCATGTTTGATGATTTATTTGTTTAGTTCTGAGCAAACACTTTAATGTGGGAAGTTGGAAAGATTATTCAAATATTACTATTCAACCAATTCTGGTTGAGAAGCAGAATAAGGCATGTTTGCTGAAAATATGATGTTCTAGCACTTTAATTAGGAGAGACTGGAGAAAATTCCCTAAAGATTTTGGCTAGACAGTATTAGTCTGAAGTGTAAAAAATAAAATCTAAATTAAAGGAGCAGTGCTTCTCTCATGGTAGATTAGAGTTCAGATGAGAGACCAGAGTGTGCCTGAAGCCTGGGTTGTTTTCCTCAAAGGGTGAAAACAGGGTTTTATATGCTTTTTACAGCAGAATTGCAATAGATGAAAAAAGAAAAACCTCTGAGAGTTAAGACAAGAGTAGACCATTGAAAATAAAAATCTGAGAGCGACATGCTATTCAGAGACTTGATAGCGGGGCCCATTGGAAGCAGAGCGTTTCTTCTGTGGCTGAAAGACAGCCGGTGGCTGTGTCCAGACAGCCCAGCTGGAGCGCAGAGAGCCCTAGTTCTAGACTCTTTGCATGGGATATTTCTGTCCTGACCTCCGGTGCAGTCTGCGGCAGATGTGAGCACAGCATTTCCTAAGGCTGTAGCCTGTGATGTACCTGATCTGTAGATTAATGGAGTTCAACAAGCCTAGCTGTTAATCTCCTGCTTTTCAGGAACATGATATGTATATATATATATATATATTTATTTATGCTTGCATCGATACTATGTATAAGGAAATGTGAAGGAACAAAAGGAAACCATTAAAGTAGAAATAAAAATGAGACTCGTGGGAACTCTGATTTCTAATTAGAAGCACTGTACATCTGTTATAATTTTAGCTCACAGAGGTTAATAGAAAACGAGATCAAAGGCAGCATGTGTTTACCAACGGTAGATCATGCCAGGCTAAGCTTCTTTGATGTGCTAAGAGATCTGAATAGGAAGTGCAGATCTCATCTGTCTGAAGTTCAGGAAAACATTTAATGTGCTGCCACTTGGGACTGTATCTGTTAGATGAATGATAAAGGAACTCATAAAAGAACTATAAAAGCAGGAGGTTTGGAACAGGGCTGATGACAATCTGATTCTGTTGAAAGGAAAATGACTATGCTGGAAGGGATTAGTAGTAGAGATCCTCATGGGTTTGTGGTGGGTTTAGTCATCTTCTGTAATAGTACTTATGCTGTTCCTCCTCCCCCAACCCCATAGGTCTGTGAGGTGTTTTTTCACCAGGTGCTCCAGGGCTGCTCAGCAAATGAATGCAATGCTGCCCTGGACCCCGAGCTGCACCACCCAGATGGTGGGAACCTATGTCACAATCCACTTCCCTTCCTCCTGGGGAAATAATCCCCTTCCTCCTGGGCTGCAAGAGTTTACTCCAGGGAGGGCTTCAGCACCCAGCAAGTGCAGGGATGGTGATGCCTCTCACATTCCTCAAGCATGGACACTTTCAGAAGAGTTCTGCAGGGCCACACAAACACCACAAAACCTTCTGGACTCAAGTCCAGTTGATAGCACTGCCAGGTCATCTTTCAACTGGTAAAGAAAATAGGTTCCTATGTTGGGTGGAAGCAAATAACAAACATTGAAAGATGGCTTTCATTTGTAACCTTAAAATGTTATTTTTAATTGAAATTGCAGATGTGACAAAGCAGAAGACTGCAATATCGTTCAGAGGGAACTAGAGGACCTTAGGGCATGGATTCACAGCAGCATGATGAGTTCCATCAAATATGTAAGACCATGCTTTTTGTACCTACAGTGAGATTTCTGCTACAGACTGGGAGTTCGTCATTTGGGGAGATGATGGACGAGGGATTTATTTTCAAAGAAGTAAAGATACCTAGAAACTATTTTCTGAGCTACTTCTACCAAAGAGGGGGAGACATATAATGACATTCTTCTTGTGAGCTCATTCTGGAAGATGTCATAAAACCTTTGTCCCTTGCTTTGAGAAACAAATGTGAACCCATGCAGAGAAGGCAGACATGATGAGGGAACTGACAGCTTCTCATAATGAGAGAAACAATAAAGAGTTTAATTTAGTCTACCAAAATCAAGGCTGAAAGAAGAAGCAATTATTCTCTGTAAAGCTATCAAGACCAAACCCCAAGGAAGGAAAATGTCTTGTTAGCTCACACAGCAAGACATGAGAATAAACTGGCCATTAATATGTTTAGGCTGGAAAACAGGGGAAAAAAATAACTATTGGGGAGCAGGGTTGTCTCCCAGTAGAGGCAAATAAAAGCGTGTATGATTTTAGGACAGCAGTTAATCAGCATATCCAAAGGCCACCTTGAACACTGCCATCCAGCAGCAGGAAAAAGAAACCATAAGAAGACATAAGTCATTTCTAATTTGCAGCTGGGCATACGGAAGCTGAAGGGATACCAAACTGCATGGAAGTAAGTAAATCCACCTCTTCTCTCAATGGGAGAGACTGCTCTTAAGCACAGGTTATTAATGCTGGGATTAAAAGGCTGCTCCTACGTGAAAACAAGCAGTTTCTTTGCTCTGGAGTTATAAGTGAAACTGGAACCAAATCTGTCTAGCCCCTGTAGACCCATCTGCTACTGCTCCTAAAACAAAGGAGCAAAAATAACGGCAACAAGACCAACAAGCCCACAATAAGTAACTTCAGCCAATATTCAGAACAACAGCTGAAGCTGAACTTCAATAGCAGAGTGTTGGTTATAAATCCTCTGTTTGGAAAAAAACACAAGACCTTACAGAAAAGCTTACATACACTTTTGCTATGAATTATTGAGACTCCAGGTAGGACATGCACACATCTTGAAGGTCAAAAGACCACTGGACATTACCACAATGACAGCCCTTGCTGTCCCTGCCCGCCAGACCAGGAGCCAGTGGACCTGAAACTTTGGTTTGGGCATGTATCCATCTGTGAAGCGTCCTCTGCTTAACAGAGTGCTTGGACCATTTCTTAGGGGGGTACCATTTGATTCGTGCCGCCTTGGCTGTGGCTGGTAAGTTGTTATGCTTCTGATTAATTTCCAAGCTACAAAACATTACAAGCTTTGTGCAGACCACAAGATGGCACAGCTGTAGTAGCTATACAGAACTGGATAAGGCAGCCTGGAATGAACAGATTTAAAATAAAATTAACATAGTATTTAATATCAATTAGAGATGGTGGGGGGAGCAAAAAGTATATTCTGGTGAAAAAGCTCTTATTTCTAATTGAAGGGCAGCGTTCTCTGAGCCTATAAACAACAGACAATGCTGGAATCTTTGATTTTCAATAATCAACTGCTTATATATTTACAAAAAAATAACATCTCAAAGCAGAAATTAGTTTTGAACAAGGAAACCAGTTTTGCCTGAGATGTAATAGAATGGTGTGACTTTAGATTCTTTTCAGTCAAATATTACAATGATTATGGAATAGCTTTTGAGTGATCAATTTTTTTTAAGGTGCAGAATGCTTTAATACCCACAAACCCTCTCTGTCCTACAGACAATTTCATTTGCAACCACTTTCAATTTTTGAATAGTGAAAGAGTTGAGAATAATCCCTAATTAGATGTCAGATACCAATGACCTGTTGAAAATAGTCTTTTTATAATACAATCCACAAGGCAATGAATGCACTCTATGAGACAATAATGTGAGTAATATGGATTTGTAGGATTCATATTCACTGCTCTGAATGACCCAGAAAATATTATGGAAAATTAACCAAATCATTACTCTGGCAGCATATCACAAGGAACTGGACAGTATAGGTTTATTGTCTCCAGGATATTTGCTTTCATTATCCCCTAACTAATGAGGAGATGATTTGAGGTAAAGAGAAGCAGACATATATTGAGGACTATGCAGGGAGACAGAATTTCATTATGTTTATGTTGTGGGATTTTTTTAACAAAAATTATATGTTTTGTATCATTCGCCATTGAGTTTTTGCCATTTGCCCTACAGGTGTACAGCATCTTGCATAACAGGGTGATAGTCCATGATTAAGATTTCTAGGAGTGTCTGCAATAAAAATATTAACTTTCCATCCATTTATGTACTGCCATATTTGATAATAATTGCCACAAATGCCAGGGATTTGGAGAGGTCTCATTATGGCAGAATAATAAAAATCTAAATATGAACTCATCCAAATACCAATGTATGTCCATCAGAAATATCTATATCTAATCATCTAATCTATATCCAAAGGGGAGGAAGATAATTTTATTATCAAGTCCTCTTGTAGTAAATCAGAATTCCTGATTAGCATCCAAATGCAAAACTGGCATTACCAAATTTGCTTACATTTTATCCAGGCAAACTATTCTCTGACCTGGACAGTGAGGAGATTCACAAAAGCTTGCATGTTTTTAAATGAGATCTGAAACTTTAATTAACAAGTTTTTTCTTTTGGGTTGACAGTCTTCCTTACTTTAACCGAGAAATACCTGTGACTGTTCTTGCTGTATCTGGTATAATATTTATAAGGAATGTCCTAGTAAGTAAGAATTTAAGTCACTGACATTCACTAATAATCATGAATATGATTTTCAAAACAACCTGAGGGATTTGAATACATAATGTTCTTCCCCCTCTAATTCTTCCCATACTTCTGTCATTATCCTCTGCAGTATTGTACCTACTTCAGGGCTCAATCCTCCAAACACAGAATGCAGTTCCAGGAAGCCCATAATGATGTGAGGGGCTGAGACTTCAGATTAAAATCTTTCCTAGGGAAGGAATGCACACTTAGAGCTCTGTAGGAAAAGCAAAGTAAGTAAAATAGAGAAAGGGAAAGGGGAAGGGGAAGAGGAAGAGGAAGAGGAAGGGAAAGGAAAAGGGAAAGGGAAAGGAGGAAAGGAGAAAAGAAAACATAATTGATTCCTACAGCTGTCAGGCTAACTGAAATGAAAGGAGTCAACTTCTTATCTCATACTGTTAGATCCTCTACTCACACCAGCAGCATTACTTCAGAGGGCTCTCCAGAGCTCAACAGACTGACACCAAAGAATACAATTATTCTTTTCTTATATTAATATAACTTTGCAGAGAAAGAGACCAAAAAAGCATAAATTGTCTGTTTATTTTTTAGCTGAGGGTAATAAAGAGTCTTTAAAATTTCACAGAGACGTATCAGATGTAGAAAACTCAGTCTTGCAATTCCCATTAATTTTAATGTGATGTACAATCAGTCCCTGAATGCTAAAAATGCCTCTCACAGTGAAACACACACAAATGTCCCTGTTGTCTTTTTGCATCCTTTGATGATTTTTTGTGTATTTTGGCCTTTGTAGAGAGTATACGCCCTAAAATCTTGTCTGCAGTTCCCTGTTAGTATTGCAGTGAGTGGCTGCATTTTGAAATCATATGCAGGATTTTGATTTCCTGACCCTATGTCTATAGTTATATGCACTGATGAGGTCGCCCCTGAGCCTTCTCCTCCAGGCTGAACAGTCTCAGCATTCTCAACCTCTCCAGGCCAGCTAGAGGTCAGTCACTGGTGGTACATCACGGGGGCTGATACTGAGACCAGCACTATGTAACATCTTCTTTAATGACAAGGATGGTGGGATAGGGTCCACCCTCGGCAAATTGCCAGGTAATTCGTGGATCCAGGGGCTCCTCGGCACACCAGTGCTACTAAATTATTTGTCTAGGACCCTATAGAAAATCTGCAGGCTGGCCAGGAATTTAACCTCATTGTCTTGGGGTTGGGCTAATATCATGGCACTGAACCAGCATTCACAGGCCTGGCTCTGGGATAATGACAGCATTACTGGGATGCATTTGTCCAAATTGCTTACTGCAATTCTCAGACTCAAATCCCATCTGTGAGTAGAACTTTTATGTAGAATTTCTCCAAATAAGGACAATATTCAGAAGCACGCCAAAAATTTGACATTCATTACTAGAAATTATCTCAATTTCTAGTACAAATTTGTATTTGGATAGAAATTTCTCCAAAGCTGCCCTCTGGATTAAACATTTGAGTTCTGTCATTTAGCAGAACTGATTTTTTATTTCAAGTAGACATCTATTAATTAATTATTGACCTATTAACTGTATTAATTATTGTTAAAATTAATTTATTTCCCCCCTCCTTTTTTTTTGCATTTTGTTGCATTATTCTCCTTAGCCTAGGATTGAACATGAGAACAGCTGGGGAGCAAACAGATTGCTTGTCACTGAATGTTCTAGCAATATAAAGTTGGTAGAAATTTTTTGAAATAAGATGGTTCCATATCTGCAAGAATTGCATCCCCCAAAAAATCCTCCGAAAGCAAAACAGTATGATCACAAACATCAGTCAAAAAGACCTTGAAGAGCCCTTGTCTTTCCTTCAGGTGAGAAGGAGGTGCCAGGAGATGTGCGCCACCAGGCTGTGAGCATTGCTCGTCTTGGGGAGCAGGGGTTGCCTGCAGACTCTGAACTGTCAGCATGGCTGTAAGTGATGAAATCACTGAACTGGAATAAGCCAGGTGGCTGTTTCTAACAGCAGCATTTCAACAACTGCAAGGGATTTTCAAATTGAAAAGCAAAGAGCTGGCATTGTCACACCAGGTACTTCTTCATGGGAGATGTATAGCTCAGGAGCAGCGGCAGTCTGGGAAGGGTAGAGAGAAAATTCTTCATTTCACAGAATCATTGGAATAATTAATTTTTTCTTTAAAATATTTCAAATTTTCTCAAATCCAGCTATAGAAATGAATTTGAGATACTCTTCTCTGATCCATTATCTTGTTACTGGATTCATGTGTAATCAAATTCCTCTTGTATATGAAGGATGATGTCCTGCACCTAGAAAAATGATACATTTCTATCCCAGGATTATTATGTGTCTCCTGCAGACAGAAAGGGGGTTGGTAAAGAGACTGACGTTCATAGCTGCTGGTCTAAAGCCTGACTTAGATGCCAGGATATCCCAGGCTTGGCAATTCCCACTGGCTTGAAAGAGTCTGTCAAATGGACTCAAGTATTAAGTGGGATTTAGTACATCCATCCTTGCTGTCACTGTCACAGATACCATATGGAAGGAGACTCACTTTTCCATCTTGACAGTCCCATTCATGGGAACACAGAGCTGTAAAGATACTGGCTTCTTACTTGGGTCAGATTAGTTCATGTGCAAGACACAGGTGATGGAAAGGAAAGGTGGCCTCTAGCATCATCTGATACTGCTCATATAACAAGCCATGGCCACATGCATACTAACTCTGAAATCTCTCTAGTTTTACAGCTTTTGATCAAGAAAAGTCATGAGGGAGCTATTACAGAGGCAGCTTTTGAGTACTCAAGCCAGAGGCTTGTTTGGGGTTGGTGTACAGAGCACCAGACCAGGTGGTCAAACCACAACAAAACATGTTTTGAGAGCTGAAGGGAAACATCGTATTATGATAAATTTCGGGAGATACCAATCAATCCCTGTGGTGAAAAAAGGACCATAAAGCAGATGCACTTCCTTAGCCAATGGCAAATAGTATTTCTCTCTACAGTACCTGTGGGGTACCTGAGCATGCAAGCTGTTCTTCTGCCAGAAAGGTTTTATTTTGCCATAAGCGTGATATAGTGGTTTTCTGTCATTTAGAGGCAACACACATAGCTAAACATCATGCAGTGATTTAGAAACTTGATTAGACAGTTACACAGCTTTCATTTCCTCAGTAAAAAGGAAGCTGAACTATCTATCAGCACCAACGGCTCTTGTTGCACAGCCCACTACTGTTGTACAGTAAGTGGAAGGTAGCTCTTGCTGCCAGTTTTCATTTGTTTGTTTTTCCCAGATAAAAGGACAAAATCATTAAATACTGGCTGACCACTTCATTTCACATGAGCGAAGATGTGGACAGGCTGGTTTCTAAATAAAAGTTTAATGATTTGACATACAGCAAGAAAAAAGCAGGCACCTTCTAGGTTTTATCTTCATCTGCACACAAAATTTTTATTTCTTGTAATAGATTATGACCAGCAGGAGTCTGTGGCTGCAGAAGTGAATGTATCACTGAGTGCT